GGTCTAAATATTAAGAGGGAAACATGGGGGGGGGGGGGGGGGGGGGGGAGGAATAACAGGGTGGGAGAGAATTAAGATGGAAAGAAGAAAAAGGAGAATTAGGGGAGGTAGAAGCGAATCAGCAGAGGGCGACGAGAAAAGGTGCGCTTGCATTCTCGCTAGCACGTGCCCACACATACTAGGAGTCGGTACCTGCTTCATTTATCCCGCCTGCAGCGCGCACTTCCCATCTTCGACGAGTCTTCGGCGTCTTAAGCACCTCGAACGCCCGCGCACTGCCAACGCAAGGTGGAGGGTCTTGGAGCGAGTGCTGGAGTTTCGCCCTACCATTCTCACTCTGTCAGTGACGAGAGTACGTCCAAAGTACCTGCTGCACTCGCCCCGTTTCATGTGTAGTGTACAACACTGTCAAGTTCTGCCGGCGTGAGCCTGTGCATGGCTCGCTCTCGCAGTTCATTTGCATGTGCTCTTGCGCATATGAGACGCGAGATGAAGTCATGCGTGCGCGCCAGTAGCTTTGGCAGCGATGTCCACTAAGTGCAGAACGGAGTAAAAGTGATCGAAAGCGAAATTCAAAGTAAGAGTGATAAACTACTTCCGGTAGCAAAGACGGGAGAGAGACGGGAGAGAGACGGGAGAGAGATGGGAGAGGAAGCGCAAGACCTCGCAATAAGACAAGGTTTGTTCCGAAAGCCCCTCACCTAATATTGGGACTCGATGGTTTCGGGCGACTCACTGTTATTGCTCGAGCGGCTATAATAATAATACTAATACTAATAAGAATAAAGTTTATTTCCCATTCAATACAGGAATGGAGGAAACAAGGGAAAAAGCTGTTTAACAGCTTGACGGAGCACCCCTGCTCCCTTACATTCCACATCACAATGTAAAATACAAAGCAACAGCAAAATATCAACATTGTATACAAAAAATAAATTACAACCTGTAATAGTTAGTGGGATAAATTCATCTCACTAACTATTTAAATTCAGCCATGCAGCTGCATGAACGCTCATTAGCAGATAAATGACGAAACGAGTTGATGTCCCCGTGGATACCACTACTTCAGTGGAGTATTCATGGGGGATATGCAAGGGAGAGATGAATAATCATTACATACCTATACCAGCTCGTCTGCCTGGCTACTTGGCCTTCCGAAAGTACGAGTCATATTCTCGTAATACGGACCCCGATACCCCTGTATATAGACAACATTTTCGAGGACGAACTGGCCAAATGCATGCGTTGTTTGTCTCGTTTATGGAAAAGTTACAATATCAATGCCGTTTTGGGGAGGTGTCCATATTAACGGAGACATCCCTGTACAGGTATAACTCAATTGGTCGTGCACTGCGGAGAAGGCTCAAGAGTCAGCTGATTCGTTTGCAGTGAACGGTCGATGAAGCGCTACGAAAACGAAGGGAAAGCAACGAAAAGGACCACGACGATAACCCGCAACACAATGCAACGGGTAGAGTGCGCTCTTTCTGGCAACGCATATCCGTAATGAACCAGACATAATGGGACACGTCTGTGGTCCACGCGGGGACATAAAAAGACAATGCACCGCACATGATACATTCGGCGCCACGCGAATCTCGTTGGAGACCTCGGCAATTCGCAAAATCCGGATTGCCCCTCACTGGGTCTTTGGAAATGAGCAGCCGACACTTGTGAAGCCACAACACTGCTCTTCGCGTTCGCAAGTCTCGGTCGAGCATGCTGCAATAGTTCAGCGTTATTAGCGAACACAGGCAAGACTCAGTGCTCGTACTTTCGAATGCGTCGGCTGCGCCGAGGTAGCTGCGTCAGTGCGGGTTCGGGCCTCCGCAGCATGCGGCTCGTGGGCGAGCGCGCGACTCGCGGCACGCACTGCACGAGCGAGCCGCCGATCGGGGCCCGGCGGCCCCCGCGGGCAGCGTCGGCGACAGTGCCCCGACGACGACCCTGGAGACGCGGTGGCCTCGGGCACAGCGGGGTCACCGAGGCCACCCCCAGGGGCACCGTCTGAGCTGCGCGTGTACGCCAGACCCGGCTCGCGGGTCGGGGACCTACCGTGCGAAGAGTCCGGGAAGATCGCAGGATGGCCCGCCATAGCTCGCTGCGGGGGCAGCCAGCCACACAGCCGATCGATGGGCGCGCTGACCACGCGAGGGCGCCCCGCTTGCCTGCCGCTCCGTGGGCTCCCGAAGCACGCCGGGTCGTACTAGCACGCCGGGTGTGCGCAGCCGATCCCAAGAGTTTTCCGCGACGCGCCTGTGTGTGCGCATGACTGCGGCATCGACGCGCTCGGGCAGGTCTCAAGCCGTCCTGCCGCCGCAAGCCGTCGGTGCTCGAACCAGGCGTCAACTGTAGCTCGGCTTGCGAGCCCCTCGACACGACCACGCTGGCGGGCCACCCGCCGACCCGGCCCGTGCCCAGAGCGCGCGGAGATGCCATGGCCCGGCAGTGAGGTGAGACGCGACGACGATGCGCCCGAGATCGGCGGCGACCACGATCGCTCTCGGGGAGCGCGGATCATCCCAATCCGCCGGCGCATTGGCGCAGTCGATTGAACATGACGCGCGCCATTCGTGGCCACTTGCGCGGTGCTGCGTGAAGGGCCACTCTGGCTGCCGCTCATTCGGTGTGCCGAGACTCGCCCGTGGCCTGTCAGTGGATGCGCTGGGCGCCGCTCGGTTGTTGCGCTCTCGAGGGCTTCCCCGTTCCGACCACGTTCCCCTTACGCTTTCTCCTCCCATCTGTCTCTGTTGTACGATTGTGGGGTCTAAAGAAGAAGCGGCTACTCCCTGGTCGGACGCGCGGCTATCCGCATCGTGCACTCGTCCGAGCATGTGCTTCGGTCAGTGTCCTGTCTGTGTCGTTGGGTTTCTGCCGGGCGTCGGAATATCATTCTGGAGTTTCTGAAAGCCTCCAGGCTTCCAGGTACTCCCGTGGGGCCTGGCAACATTGTAGAGTGACAGGGCGTTTGAAAGTTCTAGGTAAGTCTGTTGATTGTGTCGGTGGGACTCTTTTGTTCATAAACTGGAGCCGTCATAAAACGACAAGTAAAGAGACTTCTGATTCCGGCATAATCGGCACGGTCGAGAATGATGGTAACTACGTGGCTATCTATGTCCTGAGTGCATGCCTACACACAAATGATCTTTGTAGGCCTTTGAAGATTTCAGAGTAGTACACGAACGTATTTAGAGGCGAAAATGACACGATTTGCGAGACACCACTACTCCCGCCGTGAACAATACGAGTAGAGTTCACTGTACTCTTTTTAACGATACTGGCCAGCGAAGTGAATGATGCAAGCACGAGCATGTTGTCTTGACCGACGCTTTCACTTCACGAGCGCGTGTACAGGCCTTCTCAAGGCGTTGCGCTCGCTCTTGTAGCTCATCTTTCGCTCGCACTTATGCAACTAAACATATATATCCGATTTATAAGCACCCAATTTGACGGTTGTATGCATTCTACTCTTTATTGAGGACAGCGGATATTTTCAGGTGCTGGCTGCACAAACCGCTAGGCTGACATCCAACGGTATAGAGTGCAGTGGCGTACCAACTTGTTTTTGATTAAAGGAAGCAAACCAGGCCCCCCCCCCCCCCCCCCCAGGGCTGGGGGGTGGTGCCTTTGGTATCCCTTGGGCTCCGCCGGCCAGTGTGTGCCCTGCCCAGTGGCGGCTGTTTCAGGGTTTCAGGGGGGCAAAGCACTTGCCTTGCCCCCTCCCCCGGTTGGTACGCCCATGATAGAGAGGCTTTGTCCCGGTGCATTTTGTCAAAAAAGGCTCGTTCACACATTTGTGTCGATTGCATCCAAAGCAACCCAAACGACAGCAACGACTGGAAAACCGGAACAACCGCGACTCATGACTGCTTCACGAGGCTACTTTTTGCATTGCTGGCACGGCGAACACTTCTCCTGGTGACTTCGTCGTTGCTGTCGTTTCGATCGCTCTGGACGCAAGCAATGCAACTGTCTGAACCAGGCTAAAGAGCAGGGAGTGGCGTTTCACCTTACTTTCGGGTTTTATTTTCCTGAAACCGTTGACATTTTTCTGTTTGCGAAGTAAGGAATCTGGTTTATATATTATGTCGAGAGCAGCACCGTCTTCGTATCTCAAAACATCGCAGACGAATTCCGAATATAGATTATTTCATCTGAAATCGGGCAGCGTAAAGAGGTATATACTCTTTGTAATTTTAACTAAACAGATATTTGTTGCGGGGGAACTTCTAAAATAAAACAGGGCGGAAACAAAAAGATTAACAGTTTTTTTTTTTTTTTTTAAGTTACAGACAATTGAAGCAGCCCAGTCGGAAACTGACTTACGAGGGGTGATCAATAAGTTTTGCCTCCTAGGTTGCATCTTTTTTTATTCAGCGATGGAATTGAAAGATGTTGCACTCCGATGAAAGTTTTGAATCTCTTCTTTTCCAGGAGCACGTAATATTGTTAACGAATTACATTCCACCTTCTCCAATATCCAATCCCAAATTAATGTTTGCAATGTAGTTATTCAGTTACACATAAGTTTTTCCCAATATTAGCAAGCAGTGATAGGCCATTTTTCTAATCTCATTGTTAATTATAAACCCAGGTTTTCTAATCATGTTAAAGAGACCATGAAATCATTTTACAGCTTTTTACAAATGAAGATTCAAATTATTCTTAAATATTCATGAAACCCGGAGCAGGAATTTGTTTTCGTTTTATTGCCTGCAGCTTTGCACACACAGAAAAAATGAAAACTCGGGTTGGCGTTTCTCCTTGACTTAACCGGACACGGCCACCAATCACGTGACCGTGACGTAGAGTATGCCTTTCTACCGGAAACGTAAGTTCTCTCAGCCGAGCGAGGGAGCCGCGTTGAGCACGAGCACTGCGTCACACGGACGTATGCGCTCGTCAACAATCAATCCGTGGGCGAATATAGGAATTCGCGTTCGTGGCCAATGAGTGCCGTGATGGCACTTATCGTCACGCGTAATGCGACAGCGTCGACAAAATTCCGAGGTCTAAATAGATGTTCCACTTCATCAGTCGCTGAGCTGATTTTGTAGATCACAGAGATTGGCTCTTTGAGTGTTTTGCGGGTAAGTAGACGCGCAGGCATTTCTTAGAGTGCAGGAATAGACAGATCTCACCAGGAGTTGCGCGACGCCACCTCTGCCGCGGTGAATTATGGCACCTGTAGTTCTTCCCAGTTTTTCAGCCGCGTCAATGCGCATTGTACGCCCGGCGTTTGGAAATTTTCGGGTTAGCGTGAGACTTTTCATCGGGTGTTTACTAACCGTTTTCAACGGGTGGCTTCGCCTGTTGTGTGCTACAATAACAGCACCAGGCAAAACGGCATCCGATTTTAACTAGCGCTGTGCGTCGATTAAAAGTTTTAACCCGATTAATCGTCATACTTTAAACGATTAATTATTCGATTAATCGGCCTGGTTCATTTCCATGCATAATAATTAAAAAAAAGTAATAATAATTTTTTTTCTTGCCTTTGCTAAATATGACATAAACGGCGCAATATACAACTTGGATTATGAATCAGTCTCGATGTATACAGTTAACAGTTCAAAGACACACACACTTGCAGATTATTACTTAAACTGCGTGAGGCAAAGAGGTTCGTTGATATTCTCCGGCGAGTGCGACCTCCTTCGATTATTCACGAAGGAGGTCGAACACTAAATGAACTTTACGGCACGTGTAAGATTTGTAGTAAAATTTCTGGAGCTCAGCTCGCGATATTTACGGGAACTCCGATCTTCTTGAGGTTCGACGACTTCGAACTTCGCGAGCTTAGACTCTGAAGAAATTGGATCGTTTCGACGTTTTCGGACCTGAAGCTCAAAGAAATTCGAAATTATCGAATCGTGCGAACCGTTGAATTTAAATGCATTATAATCAGAACCTGAATCATACAGAAATTGAAACTGTCGAATTTTACAAACTTCAATTAAAAAAAAAAAAAAAAAAAAAAAAAAAAAAAGTCGAAGCTGTCGATTTTGAATTTTTAAAAACCTCGATGACTTTGAACTTTACGATATCGAACCCGGGCAGTTTCGAACGTTTCGAAAGTTTGCGAAATCGAACTCCTGGGATGTTCGCAAAGCTCGAAAACCGTCGAATTCGAATTTCCGGTGGTTCGCGACTTCCCTAGAGAAAACCGGTCAACTCCGAGTGTTGCTACAAACAGCTAATGCATGAGCTGGAGGATTTTGTCTGATCCTTTTCGGAGCATTGACATCGTCTTAGAGACTGCGAAAATGTTCCTGCTTTGCGATATTCTTTTTTCGTTTACTAAGAAAGTCATCACAGAATACTCTACGGGCGCTGTAAGTCGCTGCCATGGCTGAAGGCGTTCTGTCAAGACGCAAGTACGCGGGACTGGCAACCACCTCGTCTGTATATGACCGTATCGCGCGTGTTGTCTTGTCTCACGATGACATGACTCCGCGACCTCCCAAAAGCATGATAGTAAAAAAAAAAAAAAAAAGGAAATATAACGCGTTATTAGCCTTTCTACGAAGCAACGTACAGAGTAACATGATTAAAAAAACAAAAGAACAACCTGAGGCGGGTACAAAAAAAAAAAAAAAAAAAAGGACAGCATAACACAGACGTGTTTTTTTTCTTTTTCTCGTTGTCCCAGTCTCAGGTTTTCTTTGAATGATGTTTCCTAAGCAGCTCGCCTGCGTCCTTTCCCTCCTTGCAGTACAGGGTAAGCTATAAGCACGTGGCAAGCAGTTCCTCCGGAAAGAAAAGTGCACCAGGAGAAAACGGGCGATAATTGCGTGTGCTCTGCGGTCCATGCCGTCTCTGGTTCCCGTAAGGCCCCTCCTCTCTTTACGTTCACCGAAGGGGCCGCAGCCGTAGGGCTTGTGGGGTTTGCTTTCTGTCTGAGCCGCCGCCGCCTTTTTGATTTGGCGCTGATCCTTTTTCGAATGGGCGCCGCCATCTTGAAATATCGTCACTTCTAGTATGGGCGAAAACATTGTTTTGCCGTCGCCACGCCAATAGAATGCATTCAAAACATAAGCGTAACCGTCACCCATTCTCGTTTTCTCTCCCCCCTATTTTTTTACTATTTGCAGGTTGAAACGTTTCAATATTTTTTTTTTTTTTTTGTCGCCCATACCGGTCGGGGGCGAGAGTAAGCGGAAAAGATCGCGGCATTTCGATTTTGACGCCGGTGTTGGTTCCTGAAAACGATAGTAAAAAGAAAAAAAAATGACACGCTAGAATAATTTGCAAAAATAATAAGAATAGTAATAAAAACTTTACGGATTTTGTACCAATTTGTTTTTGAAAATGTCTTTAACTGGTCAAATTTTTGTGCTAAAATTTGAAGTCAAAACTGCGGGTAGAAAGAAAATAAGAAAATAAAAAGTGATTTTTTTTAACGGCGGAGCGGCAGCTGTCGGGGAGACACCGAACGACGGCCATGTTTCTT